GGATGGAATGTTTGCTGAAGATCCCACGTTACGAATCGTTGATTTTGTGTGCGTGGCTATGATGATACTTATTCGAGACGAGCGTCAGTATATTTACTTCCATTTTGTTCAATTATTATTTGATTTCGCCGCACATAAATCGTTGATTAGAATTTTTGCACTGTTATGTAGTTCTCGAAAGTGATTACGCGGGATGTCTCAGTATGTTGATGCGATACCCACCTGTCCCGGATGTAGACTTTTTAGTAAAACAAGCAATATATCTCCGGGATCATATGACAACTGACGGTGGTGCTCAAGTAATTCTGCAGAATGCAATTCGATCTGGTAAAACTATCACACCACATATCACCACCGATGCTACTGATCGTGAGCCAAATCGTAATTCCATCTCGACTGGCTCGTTGGACGGTCTGGTTCCGGATGGATTTGTGCATGTTACCAAAAATGTGCTAGAAAGTCGAAGTGCTGTCGCGCTTAATAAGGCGATTCTCTCTGCTGTTGGGGAAGTAAAGGTCAGTAAAGATAAACGGAGAATAAAATTTAAATTGATTGGTTATTTGCCGATTTAATCGATTTTGACGATTATTAATAATTTACAGAAAAATGTGCTTAGACGTCCAGAGAATTTATCACATGAAAATCGTAAGCGTACCTCGGATTTTCCACCCAGATTTGGGAATACAATTCCAAACAATCACCAAAATCAATTTTTTCATCAGCAACAGCAACAGCAGCAACAACAACGAGAATCTGCTACTGTCGATGCATCCTCATCTGCTGGTGAACTTGCCCGACTACGGGAACAAAATCGACAGATGGCTGGTGTTGTATCAAAAAGCATTGAATTACTTGAACAAGAACTTTTTGTTCGACAAAAGAATCGAGAGGCACAAAATCTAACAGAGCAAGAAAAAATTGAAAAAAGTTCAGATGGATCTCGTTCATCATTTGACGAGGTTGTTAGCAGTAATGAAGAAAATTCGGCACTTACTGCAAATGAGATCTCTATTCTTCACGCGTTGACAGGTCTCAAACATGTTCGAGATGTATTGGATGGTACTACACGAGATTTTAATCCAGGAGTATTTTATGGTTCTAATCATAGTTCGGGCGAAGAACAGGATCACTGGGAAGTTGTTGACGATGAAGTCAGTGTAGTAAGCGTACTAAGTACTGCTGGAGAAGACGATGAAACAAGTTCTACCGCAAAAGATGGAATCCAATCAAAGCATGACAAAAGTTCGTCTGTTACAAATTCTCTAAAGTCAACATTGTCGAATAATGATGTGTCTTCAATATCCAAATCTGTTCCAAGAACTCCCTCACCTTCGCCATCTTATACATCATATTCATCTAGTCATAATGATACAAAACATGTGTTAAAGAAAAGTTCTTCCGATTCTATAGCAAATAATTCCGCGTCCACTAATACCAATGTTCGGCAGCGTACCAGCTCATCATCTTCAACAAGAAGTAGGCCTCAATCGATTGTCTTTTCCAAACCTAAAATTAATTTAGATGATGTCCTCGAGGACGTGGCAAAAAGTGAGCCTCAAGGCAAAATTAATCCACCGAAAGCTACTATCTCCTCCAATTCCAAATATAGTTGGATGGTAGAAGGAGCGGAAAATGACGAAAATTCACTGTTTAATCCGAAACGTGTAGTTTCAATAAATAGAAGCTCTGAAGATGATATCTTTAATCAACCTCCATCTTCTCCAAAACAACGACGTATAAGTAATGTTCGGAGTTCAATATCAACTACTAATACCCCTTTGGCAACTAATCGAATTGATTTGAATGATCCGGTGGATCCACTTGGCGCTACACCTTTTCCATCTAAAAATAATGTTATTAGCCGAGATAGAAGTGAAAGTGTAGGTTCAACGTCATCATTTGACAATACACGATCGAAAAACAGTGTGACTGCAATCTCTATTGTACCAACATCTAAACACACAGAAGACCCGTTGGGTGTTTTGTGATCTTTATTATTATACTCTTATAAATTAATCACATAAACTTGTATTTATTGCGATTTTTGTTAATACAATTTCGTTATCATAATGAAATTATAATTAAGAGTCATTTTTTTTTTTTTTACGAAAATAGTAACCAATTTGTTGTCCGCGCCTGGTTCGCCAGAACGCTTTCATTCAGCCGCCTGCTATCAATAATATAATAATACCCAAAAAAATGAGGAGGAAAAAATTTTTGTTATAAAAAGGAATGTATATACAAGATAAAATATATACTTCTACATAAAATCGTCATCATCGTATTCATATTCATAGTCGTCATCCGGGCCCGACTCCACAATGAAACTATAATCTTTTTTCTTGTCTTTTCTATATTTTTCTTTTATTAATTCCTCGTCTTCATCATCATATTCATATTCGTAATCATCATCCTCATCATCTTCTCCATCATCACGATATTCATCGCTATCATCATCATCAGGAGGATCATTAAAAGCGCCTTCACTTATAGGAAATTCTATACTCTCAACCAGTGATGTAGATTTAATTTGTTCTATCTGTTGTGTCGATGTTTGCTGTTTTTTACTTACATCATGAATATTAGAATGTATAATTTGTGATGATGACGTTATATTTTGAGAACGAATTATAAGACGACCTGATCCTGGTTGACTGTTTGCACGACTTGGTCCAATTCCTATATTATCATTTCTCGGATCATTGAATTGAGAAATTATTGAAGCGATTTTATTCGTTTGCTCATAACTACCACCAAATAAGGAAGTGCTACTGTTATTGTTAACAATAATGTTATTTATTTCTTCGGGGTTACAACCAATTAGTCGTGGAATTTTAAATCTAGTATTATTATCTTGTAATGCTTCGTCCGGCTTAGGTGCTGGCCTCTTTAAGCTTATTCGGAACGAAGGAGGCGCCATAGAGACAATACTCGGAATTTCCGATATAGGCTGTATTTGTATGATATTATGCTCCATCAACCATTCCCTCGACCGATAATGGATGTGCAAAGCGGCAATAGCATGATCATCAATAGCTTCCAATTGACATAAAATAGGCACCATTTCATGAGTCTCAAGATCAAAAGGCTTAAATCCTATCTGATCCGTGATGCCTTCTTTTTCTCTATGAATGTCTGTAATATTAGATGACTTTATTCTATATGGCGGAATATCGACCATCTTGGATACTCGTCTTGCACGATAAAAATATACAGAGATTGTGCCCAATGCTCCTTGTACATTATTGTGTGGTAAAACTCTAGAAGTTGCGCGCATTTTTTTCCCAGGTATATGAGTCGGTGTATAGGTGTGTAGATTAGGGTCTGGAGGTGGTTCCAGTGGATATCGATATTTTCCGAATTGAAGGGCATATTTTACATCACGTTCGTCGTTCCAGAAATATTGTTTTATCTTTGATTCTTTATCGGTCAACGCAATGTGAGTGAAATCGTTGATTCGGTCTACATATAAAAACGCCATTATCGGCTCTCCTTGGGTAGCACATGCTGCAGAGACTCGAACCGTGAATTGAGTACCAGGTGATGGTATAGCCACATAATAATTTTGTGTGCTTTTCAAATGTATCAAAATCGAGAGTACATTAGTTTCCTGAAATATTGTTCATCGCAATAGACAGAAATATGTAATACCTTTTCTCTAACACGCGATACTCAGGTTTTTTGTAATAAAATGAATTTCCGTTAGTGGGAACCTATTTTCCAAAGTGCAATATTGAAGAAGACTAGTAAAGCTTGGTGTTTTGCCACTAGTTACTTTACAGAGCCGGGTTCTGACTTACTGAGCTATTTTCTGCCGAATATTCTGTCAAAGACTTTCCATCCACTAATATCTCAACGCTAAAATCACTTAACAACATACTTACGTTTTCTTATGATTACAATTTTCCCCGCTCAAATGTCTTGATTGGTGCTTGTGTTGAGTTGAATTCAGTCAAGGGGTGCTGACAAGCCTCAGCCTTTAACGGTGGCCAACGTTAACTGATAAATTTTGTGATAACTTCATAAACCTGGTAAAGCATAATAGGATCAAGAATCTACATAAAAAAGATCTCCAAAAGATGTTTAACGCAAATGAAGAGGATACGCATACTATATCTATATTACAAAAAGAACTTGATACCCTGGTCATTCAATTTTTTGAATATAAATTTTAATTTAAAGCTTTCCGGTCATTTACACTTATATACTATTACTTTAATTAGACTAGGGAAACAGAATGGTTACTGAATTCTCAAATTCCCAACGTGGTGTTGGACTTAAAAAGGGGACTAAAAGTAAATAATCCTGATAATACAAATAAAAATCTAGATTCTGGTTTCTTAATTTTTTAATGGTATATTTTATTTTTTATTTCAAATAGAAGTGTGAAGAACTATTGAGCTTTCAAGAACATGGTCGGCACAAATTGTTTACTGACATTATATATATACAATAAATCAATTAAATCGCTTTCTGATTTATCTTTTCAGAGTTCTCAGGAAATTCCACTTTAGCAATATCTTCTAATAAGTTCGGTCTCTCTTTTTAGTAACTATCTATTCTGCTTTATCTTATAATTCACTGACTTCTTAATATTAGTAATGACTCGCTCAAAGGATACGTCACCTTAAATGGAAGCGAGATAATCAAAGGGGTAATTTGGAATGACATTGATGATGCTATTATTATCATTATTATTGTTAATAATATTAATCTTACAAGATTACTTTATATAAAAAAAGGAATTGCAAATAAAATTGCATAATTATAATCGGGGAAATTTAATCAAATTCTCAATTAGTCCACTAAAACCCTTTTTCGTTGAACAGGTATAAAAAAATTTTTAATGACGATAATTTAAATATCATTAATTTATGCAAAAATATTTTATAGATTGGTGATGCACAAAATTATATTAAAGTAGCATTGGACACACTTGATTCCACTCATGAGCCTTTTACAAAGCTAAGCGCGATTGAGGTAATTAAGAAAAATTTCCTTTGATATTCTTGCCCTTTATTTTATTTAACTTAATTGCAAAACAATACAGATGTTTGAAACTACGTTAAAATACATCACAAATAGCAGGAATGCATTTATAAACATAAATGAAGAAAAGAACTTTCCATACAAAACATGTGATGCTCAGGTAAGTAATTTTTTGCTTTTAATATTATATCAGATTAGATACAATATTGATTGAATGCAACATTAATATCTTGTAGATGTTTGATTCATCACTTCCCGAGGGCATTGCAATAGATTTCCGCATAGAAGGTTTCGAAATCGTTACTTCTGTATATGCTTTTCAGTTTCAAGCAGGGGCCACTACGACACCGACTACCACTAAACTTGTTCAACTTGGCGGGATATTGGGTACACATAAGCAACCACATAAATTATGGTATTTGTAAAAAAATTTTCCTTTGCAGATATTTATTTTTATTTTAATCATTTAACTCTTATCTTTTTTATTTTATGTTTTGTAGTAAATATAAAGATAAACTTACGACTATTTTAGATGAAATAATGGTGAAGTCGTTAGATCCACGATTAGAAGAGGTGATGGAAAATTTGGAAAAAATTGAAAGAAAATGCTTGGCGTGGAAGAATAAATTGTCTTTATTCTGAGAACTACTAAGTCGAGATTTTTTATAATGTTATGTTGTAATTTTTGATAAGCTTGATGTTAGTTTTTATTTATATTGATATTCGCTTGAATTCTTAAATACACCTCAAAAAAATATTTATGACTATAAATGACTCATTATACAATTAAAAAGAAGTTTCATACTATCGCGTCCTAAAATTTATTAAACTTACGCGACGAAATAATGTTTAGGGAGAGCCTTACCAAAATAATTACTAATTCTAATAAAGTATGTCATAAAAGAGTTGCTCGGACGATTGTTTCAAAACCTATTAGAAACCTTTCTAAGCAGTATGAACCTGTGAGTAGTTGCAAGCTTTTAAGCAAAATATTATTATTACTAAGAGTACTTTAGTAAGAAAATATGTGGTTTTTATCGAGAAAATAGAATGCTATCGAACGAGGATGGTATAGTTGGTGGGAGACAAAAGGTATGCGCGTGATATTTGAGATCCAAGAGTGTATGCAAACAGCTAGACCGCTTGAAAAATGCATAAATTGAAACATAAGAATCTTTTTTATTATTACAAGGATTTTTTGAAAAATCGAATATAACTAATTCCGATGTATCGGATAACTTTGTCATGATTACGCCTCCACCTAATGTGACCGGAAATTTACATATAGGACATGCGTTGACATTTAGTATACAAGTATATATTTATTTTAATAACGTAATATATGAAGAAGAATAAAATAAAATTGAATTCTTATAAATATATGAAAGGATGCCATTGTGCGATGGTGTCGTATGTCCGGATACCCTACATCTTGGATACCTGGGACTGATCATGCTGGCATAGGTACTCAATCGGTAGTTGAACAAAAACTGTTTAAAGAGAAAAAGGTACGAGCA